AAAAAAAATATATATATATATATATATATATATATATACACACACACACACACACACACATGTATATTATTAGGTTAAGAAACAAATAAGAAGTCAGAACCTCCCAAGGAATCTTTAATTTTAAAAAAGCCACATATTTTCAAGACCAACTTCTTTATGGTAATCGATATTATTTATCTCATATCAGCACAGTCACAACGTTCACACCCTTGGGTCAAATGCAACAAATAACTTGAACCAAAACTAAGTGTCAAGTTAAGACATAGAGAAGACATAGCAACATGTGTTATACTTAGATTTCCTGGATCTGATGTTGGAAGTACAACATCTCCTGCTCTTTCAATTCTGTCAGTTTAAAAATATGTACTCCCAAAACAAAGCCAAGGAGATAGAACACACAGCTGAAAAGCTCAGTACATTCAGAGTACACCTACTCCTTCTACTTCAAGTCTTCCAGGAGTCACTGACTTAGGCTCTCCCTCGCTCAGTGCAGACAGCAATCCAATTATGCTCTCCTATCCCAGGTGGTTATCATCCCAGTCTTCTTGTAAAACTGCCCCAGAAGCTCCACCCAACACACTGGCCTTCATTAATGATTCTTTTTTACCAGCACTCCTACTATTGCAGTTACTTTTTCATCTCAACAATGTTTCTATGATGATCCATCACTAGGATTTTTTTTATATCATCTATGAGAAAAAGGGCCCTGAAGAGGAAGGCTGTGAAGCTTTCTAGAGTCAATCTATTATCAGAAACCAAGTAGCTAAAGCAAACACCAGTGAAGAGATCCCCAGGGACTAGAATTCTGGAAAACTAATCTCTCTGAAGGTACTAAAATTTCAAAAGAATGAATTTGAACTACTTTGTGCTGGAGTTCAATAACTTCAATACACGCTGATAATTTCTTACAAATTTTCCTTTTAGCACTTTCCCCCATGATAAACAAAAGTTAGAGGGAAAGTATGGAGTCATGGAGAGGAAAAGTCTGCCCTCAAGTCAGAAAGAACTGGGTTCAATTCCTTCATCTGATACCATCTTTGTGACCAAGGGCAAGTTGCTCAAAGTCTCCATTGCCCCCTGGTAATTCTGTAACACTTGACGTTACAAACAGACTAGCTGCCAATCTGTGTAAGTAATCACAGGTCCTGCAGACCAGAGAAAAGATGAGACAAGGGAGGGAAAAAAATCAAGAAACAGAATTTAGAAGACAAATGCATAGCCACAGAGTTATCAAAAGAATGAAAATGAAATATAAGTAAACTGAATAAGTTTTAAACTTTGAATAAGAAAAATCATTACTTAGAATTTATGAGTAAAGGATAAGAAGAGCCTGCACACTAACATGAATATTCCTATGGAATAAAAATTTACTGAGAAAAATGAAGAGTACATTTATGTCTAACCTTAAAGTACAAGAACAATAAGCTAAAAAATTAAAATCTGAGAATGGCTAAGGGGCTTTAAACATACTTTTTTTAAAAAAAAATCTAAATCATTCATACAAAACCTAATTTTCTGCTAACAGAACCCAAGATTGCTACACTAAGAAAAATGTACTTACTTGAGAGATATATTATATGACCTGAAAATCTTTAAAATTTACACACTCCAAAACCTGTATTAATAAATGTGTATTAGTTCTAGTGACTTAATCTAATGCCCCATAAAAAGAAATACTTTCATATGCACATTAAAATTTACCTGTGGGTATAATAATGAAAAAATGACTGCTGGCCACCATACCTGCCAGCTACAGAATCATAGGATATTAGAGCACAAAAGGCACTTAGAGATTATCAAGCTCATACCTGAATTAGCTAATAAGCAGAAATGTTCCTGAGCAAAGCACATTTTGTATATTAAGTCATTTTCCCAATGACACACTTTACAATTTCATATCTGTAATCCTTGGGAAGAAAATGTTTTAGATCACGCAGCTGGTTCCTCTAAGGTCCCTTTACAGAAAGCTAAGTACTGGCCTTCTAAGTACTGTTATGAGGCGACTGCCAGCTTTTCATCTGAACTCTAAGAAAAATCATAAAAATTTTCACTTTAAATGTGTGCCAAATCAATCAACAAGTATTATGAAGTACCTACTATGTGCCAGGCAATATGGTAGGCACTTGGGGAAATACAAAGACAAAAGTGAAATCATCTTTGCTTTCAAATAGCTCTGAGTGACTAGCACTTCACATATTTCTTTGGTCTTTTCAATAACCCTGTAAAACAATTATTATCTTCATTTTATAGATGAGAAAACTGAGACTCAATGAAGTTCAATGACATACACTAATCAAATTTTAGGGCTGGAAGGGACAGAAAGCACCCAGTCTAATCTTCACAATTTAAGATGAGGAAACTGGGCCCAAAGAGGCAAGTGACCCACCAAAAGCAGGCAATGAAGAACAGTAGAATCCAGGCAGCAGTCAAACTCTTGGACTCCAAACCCAATGCTCTTTCCACCACCACCATGGCAGGAAATAATAATCATGATAGAAAGTAAATGGTGAAGTAGGAATAGAACACTAGTCTGTTAGCAAATTGGGCTTTTGGACACGGAGCTTAAAACTCTTGTGTGGTTAAAGGCATTTCTCAAAGTGTTGCCTTAATGGGCCCATCCTTTCTGTCTTTAAAGGGTTGGTGGCTAACATCAGCTTGCTGGAGAGGTAACCTGTGAACTGCAGGCTGAACAGCTTTCATGGAAAGCTCCAGAAGGACAGCTGGCAAGGGAGGCGTGTGGGGCAAATATCTTTCATAGAATGAGCAAAAAGAATCACAAACTTTATCTACCAACTTTTAAGTTTGGATTTTTCACTGACTCCTTTAATATTCCTGTATATGCTGCTCATTATACTGAAAATGACATGAAAAAATACATGGGGAGCAGCAACCACTCACCCTTCTATAGCACATTACTTCTTATAGAGTGATAGACAGTTTTGGATCTCTGCATTCTGATATATTAACTATTTTGCTATTTAACTCTGTTAGAATTCTCTATGCCACCCAAAACAAATAAGCTAAATCAAATCATAGGTTATACAATTTTCTCCAGGAAATCTACACTGAAGCTTCGGAAATGTGTCTCAATTCCCAACAGTTCCCTTAAATCTCTAGGCATCCTAGAGGTAAATCCAAAGTGAACACACCAAATATTACATTTTCAAGGCCTTTTAAACAATAAATCTTATTTCAAAAATCTAGAAGCAAAACCAAGACATAATATAAACCTCCCAAACAGAAACATGATGGAAAAAAAATCAAACTAAAGTTTTTTTTTAATCTTTAAAAATAACTTGTCTAAAATGAATCAAAGAAAGCAAGTCTAGCAAAATTATACAGTTTTCAGGAGTCTTAAAGGTAGAAACAAGGACTAGAGCAAAGAATTCAGCACTTTCTAGATTATAGCCTTGTTCTGCTAATTTAGCAGTTCACACTTGAATGGACTCATTCAGCAGGGTAGAAGGGAAGGAAAGGACATGTTGGGAGGAAGTGGAGAACAGAGCATTTCATTAAAAATCTAGTCCATTAGTTTCTAAAGTCACTTAATTTGGTTTCAGTCCTCAATGAGTTAAAATCAACAAGTGAAAATAAATAATAAAGAAGCTATATTTTAAAATCGATGGAGCAAATACATAAACACATTGAAGACCAGTTTCTTCTAGATTTCTGATGAAACTGTGTCATTACTCAATCAATCAACAAACATTTATTAAGCACTTACTATGTGCTAGGCAAGGTGCTGAGAGCACTAATTAAAAGAAAAATACAGCAGTATTACCTGTAAGTCAAGCTGGGTGACCTTTTCCTTACTCTCGTTTAACTGACTGTTCACTTCACTAATGTTAGCTTCTAGGGCAAGAACTCTGTCCTGTGCAGCTCGCAGGTGTGCCTTCTGCTCCTGCACCTGCTCATGCAAATTCTCCTGGGCTTGTTTGTGGCTTTCCGATTGATTTTTCAGCTTCTCAGTGAGCTGAGTTACCTATTATAATAGCAAGACACTAGAATGTTCACTGAAGAGATGACAAAAACTAAATCCCTTCTCCCCCCCACCAAAAAAAAAACCATCCAATTCTGAAATTAAGACTTGGAAAGGCATTAAGCCAATCTAACTTAACAGGGATAAGGTGGGTTAAATTTTTAACAAGATCGGTTTTTTTAAACATTCATTTTTAAATTTTGAGTTTCAAATTCTCTCCCTCCCTCTAGCCCCTTCCCCCACCCACTGAGAAGGCAAGCCATATGATATCACACCTGTGAAATCAAGCAAAACATTTCCATATTAGCCATGAATTTTAACAAAATTATAAATATTTTATGCTATTCTTAATAAAATACTCATGTGCCCAACATCATTATAATTTTTAAAATGTTCACATCTCAGGGAGCTATTTCTTTTCAAAGATTTATATTGTACATAGATTTTTCTAATAATTTTGGTCTGAGTTGAACTTACAACATATTATTCCAGCTGACAACCAACCTAAATAAGTCTTCATTTAAAATTGGCAACTGTGGTCAATTGGAAAGCTTCAGAAAACAATTAAGGGCACAAAAACAGAAAGTAATTAACAAACTCTTCATGGTTTAAGAGAAAGTTAATTGCACTGTACATCAAAATTTATTGTATGATCTATTCATCAAATATGGTTTGATAAGCAGATCCTCTGCCACTTAATGAAGTATGCTTTATGAATTCTTTTAAAATATTTCCAACCCCAACAAGTTTCCTAGAGGCCCAAATCCTGTTCCTCCATGTCTGTTCTTACTCCCTTAAGTCCACACCACCTCTCACAACCCTGTATCTGACACTTCTCGATTTCTAGGAAAAGCACCACCATTCTATTAGTTATCTCAGTTCAAATTTTAGGCATCTTCGACACCCCCTTAAACCTTCATACTCACACATGCAATCTATGGCCTTATCAATCCTAATTCCTGAATATCTTTTACATCTATCTCTTTCTTCCCAATGCCGCTACCTATACCCCACAGCTTAGACACTCACCACCTTTTGTCTCAGACTGCACTGGACCATTGTAATAACTTCCCCCCTCCAATTCTTACCAATTCCTCCTACCAGATGAGGCATATGTGTTAGTAAAAATGTCACTTACCTGCTTAAAGCTCTCATTCCTTCTCCAAATGCCTACCAATAAAAGTTGAATTCCTTAATTTGGCACTCAAAGCTCTCCATAATTCAGCTCTAATTGTAATTTATCTCTAATGTCTCAAAAGATTTTCATAACATCCCTGGGAGGTAGGCAGAACAGGTAGCATTGCTATTTTACAGATGAAGGAGATGAGACCCCAAAACTTTGAGCACCATGACACAGGAGGCCAGCCGAGAAGACAGGTCACTAGCATTCTGCCCTACATCCTCCTTCTCAAAGTGACCACCATGATTACTGGTTCTGTCCAACCACTGTCTGGTCAGTGTTCACACTGCAGCCAAATTGTCCTACGTGCCATTCCCCATAGATGCCAGTCTCTCATCACCAGGAGTACCTGTCCCATTTCAAGGTCCAAAAGCAGTCATTCTACCTGTCCTAAAATGCCTGGTTCTTCCATGCAACCTGCCTAATCCCTTTACCTACAAATCACATCTCCCTTCTTTAAGTATATTCAGTGCACATAGCCCATATATCAAACAGATTAAAAATCTAAAATTCCATTTACCGACATAAAAATAGTCAGAAATACGTATTAAATAAAAGCTATCTACATAAAAACAACAAGGAAAACAAAAGGCAGAAGGACAATGGAGAAGATTTTTTTTAAAGTAGTAATGAGTTGAAAAGTGGTAGAAAGCACATCTGAAGATCTTACCTGCTCTTGTAATGTATGGTTTTTCTCTTGTAACTGATTAAGAACAGCAGTCTCTCCCTCACCAGCTTGAATTTTTGCGTAAAGATCTTCTCGCTCTTTTTCAATTAATGTAATGTTCTCCTTACTCTTCTGTAGCAAGGCTTCAAGATTTTGGATCTTTTGGTCCTTATCTCCAATTTGACGCAATACTTGTTCCAAATCGTTCTGGAACAATGGAAAATGGCTTCCTTAAGGACTGAGACCTTAACACATAAAATGCTAGATATCAAATTTCAAAACTCATTCCTGTATTCATGACATCATAAAATGATAAATACAATTAAACTAACGGCATCCTACATTTTACAAACATACTTTATTTTCATAAAGAGTAAATCTCTGAGTAATCATAACGCAGTTAATGAGATTTTTCTCCTCTCTTCTTTTTTAGGCGAATGTGAACATCTAAAAATTTTAAACCCACATTACAGTGCATATCCTGAAATCTGTATATATTCAACTTCCCGCTTTGCCTTTTATACCTAATAGATGGAAGTCACAATGAAAGAGATTCTGACATATAAAATTTCCTTACGATTAGTGCTGTCCCATAACAGAAGAGATTGCCAACAGCCCTCAACACTAGAGGTTTTCAGGCATAGGTTGGACTACTACTTGTTAGGAACAGTGTAGACTGGGATCCTGACTTGAGTAAAGAATACAGCCAGATGACCCCTGAAGTTCCTTCCTACTCTATGATTCTAGAATTCTATAATTCTATTAATAATATTGATATTATGAATGCTGATCCCAAATTATTCAAAGGTACTTCATCAACAGATATTCAGTGTCTAATGTGGAGGATACAGAATATGCTCACTGTACTGTGTTTATTAAACCAAAAAGGTATTCTTTCTCTTTCCCTCCATATCTAATCTGTTACCAATGTCAGCTGACTTTACCTTCATAATAGGCAGGGATTCAAACCCAAGTCTCCAAGCTGAGGGCTCTCTCCAACATACTCTGCTATTCCACCTCAATGTAACCAGAAAATTAAATCAACCATAAAACTCATTTTTCTCAAGTATTCTGGACAACCAAATTGTTCCTACCCTCCTGGATCTCCTTTAGTCTTAAAGGAGCACCTCCCCCTGGGCTTTTACCTGCGCTTCCCGAAGTTTCGCTGTTGTGCTCTGCTGAAGGGCCTGCTGATCTTGATGCTGCTGCCTTATTTTATCTAACTGATGCTGCAGTTCAGTGGAATTTGTTACTTTTTCCTTCAACTTAAAAGAGAAAAGTTAGACTGTTAATAAAAAACAAGAGGCATAATGTAGAAGTTCAATTCAAAAATTAAATTCAGCAAACATTTATCAAGTGTATAATGTACTCTTTTAGGTGTTATGAGAAAAACAAAATAAATAAAACACATTACTTGCATTCAAAGTGCTTACAATTCAGTATAGGGGATGAAACATAAATGTGAATAACGATGATACAACTTAGAATATGATTTGGTGCAGTGAAAGTGAAGTCACAGTGGCACAAGCAATTTAAGGGGAAAGATCTGAGGAGTTGAATCGCTTTTAGTTCAAGAAACTGGGAATAACTAAAAAAGGAAGTAGTGCCTGAGCTGAATTTCAACAGAGAGTGATATGTGAATAGAACTCATTTAAGACACGCCAAGTGGGCTGGGTGCAGTGGGAAGGGGTATGATGGATGCAGCACATAAATATGAACAGAAGTGAAGAGGACAAGATGATATCAAGGATAAGGAGTGGCAGAGTTTGGCTGAAACCTAACGAGCATTTACTGAGTGCCTACCATATGAGGAGATGGTCCTTAAATGATATCTTAAAGGAAGAGAAGAATTCTGTGAAATAGAGGCAGGAGGAGATTGTATTCTAGGTATGTGGAATGAATGGTCAGTGCAAAAGCAGAGACAGGAGTCACAATGTCATGTATGAGGCACACAGAGGCCAGCTGAGCTAGATCTTAAGAGTATGGCCAGTGAGAAGACTGTAAAGGGCTTTAAAAGCTAAATGAGCTGTTTCTATTTGATCTTAGAGATAATAGAAAGCCACTGAAGATGACTGAGTAGGGGAATCCAAGGTCAAATCTGTGCTTAAGGAAAACCATTTTGGCAGTTAGGACTCAAATGGGGCAGGAAGACCAATGAGGAATGAAGCTGCAATAATCCAGGTGAGAGGTGAGGAGGACTTGAACTAAGGCGGTAGCTGTAAAAGCACACAGAAGGGTTGTATGCGAGATATTATGGAACAGAATTCATGAATGGGAATAGTATGAAATAAATGATAGAGAAATAAGATGTACCCAGACTACAGAAAGTCTTTAAGGTATTATTCAATAAATAATACATAAGGTATTCAATAAAAATGATGAATTATTAAAGTTTGTTATTTTAGGGTTTATTTTCTCCATTGATCAGTGGCATAATTAGGTCTGTGCACTGAGAAGAGGATTTTGGCAGTAGTATAAAAATTGAATTGGATAGGAGGGAAGCTAGAGACAGATCTGTTAGAAGGCTATTAAGAATAGTTCAAGCAATAGGTAATAAGGTCCTAAAAAATAGTTGGTGGCTGTGAGAGCGGAAAGGAGGGGATGAACAAAATATGAAAGATTTCACAGGGAGAATCAACAAGACTTAGCAACTCATTAGATGTCAGATGTGCAGGAGACTCAGAGATGACTGCATGAGGAGAGGTCAGAGGCTGTGATGTTGTTATAAGAAAGCAGGACAAAAGTAAATGCTTTTCAAACTCCTCCAGCCAGTACAGCAGTTGCTATTCGCCAAGAAGAGAGAGGTTGCTGGGGTGAAGACAAAAGGTTCCTTATCACAAAGTGTCTGCAGTCCCTTTTCATTTAAGGAAGTAGCACCATGGGGAGATTTACTTCAGCCAGAGGGAATAAGACTTAAAAACAAAATGTATTTCAAACTATTAATCAGGTTAACAGTTGAACTGAGAGATACAAGGAAGATATCAGCAGAAAGAATAATTCAACTTAGTCAGGTGTTCAGAAAAGAAAAGATTAACAGACGGCTCCTAAGAAAAGCTCAAAGGACAGGCAGGTCCAAAGCTGAAGTAGTCTCTGTAGCTCTTGGTACCTCCTGGATGAAGAACCTGTGGCTAAGGAGTCCAACAGAGAGCTGAAGTAGGCTTCCTAGCTACCTGGCCAGGCTGAGGTGTAGCCCTCCCTGCTGGGGAGAGAATTACTAATCACAGTACCCCAGGAGATGGAGGTCTAAGTTGTTTAAGGCAGTCTAAAGATAGCACCTCAGCTAACGTCTGCAGCTGAGGTATTGAAGCAGCAGACTGAAAGAGAGAAATGAAAGGGTTTTACACCCTTTCCCATATCAAAAGAAATGCTTAATAACTACAGCACTACTCAGAGGGATAATGGAGGAGCCTCATAATGTTATAACCACAGCATGTCTGGTAGATGCTATCTCAGGTCATTAGTTGACCCTGAGAACAGCTGAAGTAGACAAAGCATCCATCCAGCACTCAGGAGAGAGGAAGAGAACAGTCTAGCAGAAAGCAGCACAAGAAAGAACAGCAGCTTTATAGAATCCCAGGTGGGAGTTGCCCCTCTGCGCATGTGTGTGTGCCCTGGTCACATGGATTCTCTGTCGGTGCATCTGGGTCCCAAGTGCCCTGTCTATGTGGATTCTCAACATAATTCTTAGGAAGGGAGGCTCCGCCTACTAAATGTGTATGTATTTATGGAGGGCGAGTTCAAGGTTCATGGTGGGGTAATGTTATATTGTTACTTTATTTTCAGCTGCTACTGAATTAAACCTTTGTTAAGCTGAAATGTGTTTGGTGTCTGTCTGGTAAAAGAAAAAGATCAGTGGGAGCTTATGAGCCAGGGCTGGAGAGGACTTGGCCCCAAAACATACCTAGAATCTAGGGAAGCTAACTAGAAAACCCAAGGGCTACTTAAGATAATTTCCTCACAATCTGCAAAAAGAAGAAGGAGGAAGAAGAAGGAGGAAAAAGGAGGGAGAGGGAGGGAGAGGTGTCATGAAAGAGCTATATTAGAGACTATTACAATACTGTAACAGAAGTAAATTGTGAACAACAATCGTAATCCCATAATGAATCAATCTTTATAAAGAGAATGCTCCCCCCAGAAAAATACATATCTAGGAAATATTCACTAAACTCTTATTACCTGTTTATTATTACTAGTATAAGTTAATTCTTCATCCATCAGATATTTTAAGCACTAAGCATCATTAAGACAAAATACCAGAATACCTTCCTTTCTTCTACAATAACTGCACTTAATCATCTGGTTTCATAAAGCAGAAGGACCATATGGTACCATATCTAAAATTCTGAGTCTAGATACCTAAAATAGAGAGGGCTACTAACCATTCAAAAAAAAAATGCTTTTCTTTTTGAGGCCAAAAGGATTTGGCTCTTTCTGATAATATGAATCATTTAACAGGTCTAACCACAGGGAAGGTTTTTACTAAAATGTACATGTCATCTTTTTTACAATATCTTTCAATTCCCCCTTTAAAACCCTAAAGAAATAATCATAATTCTTAGATGAGACCTCAAGGTTTCTATAAACTGTATAAATCCTCACTGAAGTAAAGAAATAAGATATCTGAGATAAAATCTTCACTACAGCAAATCCTCATTCTTCCTAATCTTATCATTTCATTAATGTCTCATTCTGTTCAGTCCACATCTCTCACCCTCAATAACTTCATCCTAAGTCTACCTGCTCACTCCAACCCCCAGCTTTCTGCTTGAAGTTGTAAGAAAACCTTTCTATGCAGGCACTCAACAAATATTTATCAAATGGATAGATGAATACCTGCCACTGGAAAAGAAATATTGTTAATGCCACTGTACATCATTTCATTCTCAAGACTGTTTGGAACCACACTGAATATAGACATAGTATTTAATGAAGATTTATTTTAAATGTGAAAAAAGGTTGAGAATCACAGCAGCTATAAGTTAAAGAAATGCTTGACTAAACAATGTTCTTCGAAATAACTATTTATTTTACAATCAGTGAAAAATATCAAGTTCAAGTACAAAGTGCTTAGAGTACAAAATCTTAACCTGAGGTCTATGAACTTTTTTTTTGGCAATATTTTGATAACTGTACTTCAATATAACGAGTTTTTCTTGTGCATTTTCTTTTATGTATGTAAAAATCTTATTGTGAGAAGGGGTCCATAGGTTTCAGACTGCCAAAGAGGCCACGACACAAATAAGGCTAAGAATCCCTGCTTTAGAGAAAAGACAGTCAGAGGAATTGGAAACATTGGCCCACCTGTTCTTCCAAACGGGAAAGTTTTAACTGTAGATCAGCCACTTGTTGTTCTTTATCCATCAGTTTTTCACTCGAGAGCTGTCGCTGTTCTTTAAGCCTGCCATGGGCCTCACCTAGCTGTCGTTCTGTCTCCAAAAGTTTGCTGTGTAACTTTAAAAGAAAAATTACTTAATTAATTTCCCCACCTATTACACCAGATTTAAGGGCTAAATACCAATGAGATAACAATATTTTAAATTTCAGCTTTCTTGAGAATAAAAATGAGACATGCTACAATGTCTCTTTCCTCAAATTCCTTAAAGATTTTAATTATAATATAAATGTTTGATTCTTTAAAATGATTCACATGCCTTTCAGTACACTCATTTCAAAAAGAAAAATAAAAAATGTTTCCTTATCTAATTCTCTCCTACCAACTACAAGGGGAGGGGAGGGGAGGGGAGGGGAGGGGAGATCAGCCAGTTGATCAACAAGCATGTAAGTATGAAGCACTTACTTTGTGCCCAGCACTGTGCTAAGCTAATACCTTCTCTCTAAACTTGTTTATTCATTGGTAAAACAAAGATAATAAAGTTTATAGAACCTTTTAACAAGGCCTGCTGAGAGGATCTGGTGAGATAATGTAAGCAGAATGCCTAATGAACTGCCCACTACTATCATTACATATGCAGCTAAACATATATAGAGAGGTATAGAGTTAAAGGGAAAAAGGAAAGCTACAGACAAAGCTCTCCAGAAACATTTGAGAGGGGAGAAAACATATTTAGCTGAGGAGTTCCGAGAAGGCTTCACAGAGAAGCTGGCACTACAAAATTTAGATAAGGTAACACTTACCCTTATAGAGATTACATTTTGATAGGGGGATAAGACACCCCCTCTCACACTGTCTACTCCTGTATTATTAATGAAGCAGTCATTAATGAGCTTCATGAGGTAAGGGAGGAAATGACTTGAAGGGAGGGAGAGGCATGAGAAAGAAGCCTTCCTAGAGAAGATGACATTTAAACTGCATTTTAAGGAAGGACAGAAATTCAATAGATGAAGAGGACAACTGAAATATAAGGAACTTTGTCAGTAAGGCAAGGAGGCAGAAGAGTACAGGTCACAATCACAAAACAGAGTAATTTAATTTGGTTGGGAGGCATGGAATACCAAACAAAAATGTGTGAACATTACTCAGGAAGAAAGTGGAAATTTTGAAGATTCTGCACTGAAAAGTAATGTGACCAGACAAATGTATACGACAGCAACATTAAAAGCCTGATTAGGGAGGCAGTGTGTCTACTGTATTAGCCAGGTGGGTGGTGATGCACTAGTAGTGTGTACTAGCAGAGTAGCAGTGGTAACATAAGAGGGGGAAGACGTAAGGTTGTGGCAGTGGTGGAACAGGCCTGATTTTGCAACTAAATGGATAAAAGAAGTGAGGAAAAGAGAAGAATCAAAGTTAACCCTGAGATTACAGAGACAAGAAGGTGAAGAGTGATGACAGAGAGAGAATCAGTAAAGTCACAAGGAGAAACACATTCAAGACAAAGATAAGCCAAGGTTTAGCCATGCTAAGTTTAAAGATGCCAATATATCCAGTGTATATACTATATACCATAAGAGGAAGATGAAGACACAGGACAGATTTGGGATCAGCTATACAGAAGTGGCAGTCAAAGCCATGGGAGAGAACGATATGCCAAGGGAGAAAGTATCGAGAAGAGAAGCCTAAGGAAAAAATCAAAAAAACAAAACCTTTGAAAGACTTCTACATTGTTGCTGTTACTACTGCTGTTGTTGCTGGTTCTTCATTCTCGAAGAAGACCAATGACATCATGGGGTAATGTCTTGACTTGTGCTTGAACTGGATTTCAGTGAGGCAGAGCTGCCCAAGGTCATCAGCCTCACTCTCTCCTCCAAGACAAAAGTCCAGACTCCTAGTGATGGCCCAAGGACCAGAAGGATGAGGAGCCAGTGGTGACAGATGGGAGAATTAGCAAGGTAGGAGGCAAACACGTCAGTAGGAAGGCATGATCGACTGTGTGTGTCCACAGTTATTGAGACATTATGAGGATGGGGACTGAAACAAAAATCAGTGAATTTGGCAATCAGGTCATAAGTCTGGCAGGTTCTGTCATACTAGAAGGGCTTTCAGTACAATCTCAACAATCTATGTCTCCTCTCTGAGGCCTAACCTAAGTACAGATGCTTATCATAAGTAAGATGCCACTTGATGATGAATTCTTTGACTACGATAACCCATGGAACAAAGGAGACCAGAACTTCTTATGTGATGGTGCTAGAGTTAGCAGTGGGAGTGCTAAGAAGAATGGTACTGTCAGGGAAATCACTTTGGCATCTGTGTGGAAAATGAATAGGAGTGGGACAAGATTGGAGGCAAGGTGACTAATTAGGGAGCTATTATGATAGTCAAGGGGACAGGTGGTGATGAGGGCCTGAACAAGAGAGCTGGCTATGTGGGTAGAGAGAAGGGTAGGAATTCAAGAGGAGATGTAGAAACAGAAATGACAAGATTTGTAAGTGCTTGGATATTTTAGGTGAACGAAAGTGAATAGTCAGGAATCATCCTGAAGTTGTGAACCTGGAAGGATGGTGTGAATCCCTGTACAACAGAGAAATCTGGAAGAGGGGAGTGTTAATGAGTTGAAGCAGCATGTCCATACTGTGTCCTTAGGAAGTCTTAGCCTTATTTTAATCAGACTCCCATCTCCCTCCTGTCTGTCCTAGAAACTGTGATCCCCAAAGTGGATCCTGTGCTAAAATTTCGATCCCGTCTTACTCCCAGTGTACCTCCCTACTTCACACTTTTCAGCCAACATTCCTTCTGCCTCATGTTAACACTAACAGTTATGAGGACTGCATTCAGGCATGATGAAACTCCCCAAACTTGCCAGATCTTTGACTTCTACCCCACAAATGGTGATGAATGTTAGTGAAAGGACCATATAGGAAGCCTTACTCAAGATGAGGAAGACCAGGGCAAGAAACTAAAGGCCTGTGTGTGCAGGCATTTTTTCCATTCTTGTTGTCAATAAAAGGCAAAGAATTTAGAAGAGAAGGCAGATAGGGGATGTGAACTGCTGGCTGTGGAGATGATATCTGAGCACAGGGCTTGTGCTTCTAGGCCATGGCTTAAAATGTAGAAATGACAGGGCCTGAACCTGGGATAGTGTACACTTAGCAAGGATTGGTAAAAATATATTTGCTAGGAGTCTTGCAAATCTAATCAAAAGGGCTTTAAGCCAATAGGAGAGGGGCAGAAAGAGGGCTGCCATTGTCTGTCTTAGGAAGCTAGATACCACCAAGAGTAGCTAAAATTTAGAAGAAAGAATAACAGTGAGACAGTAATTTACAGGAAACCAAATTTAAAAAAAACAATAAAATGCATGGCCTTAGATATCTGTATATATGCAGAAAATATTTCTTCCCAAATCCTAAAAAAATATATATTTCATTTGCCTCTGCTGTTCTATCTACTTTCTCATTTCACTTCTCACTTTCACTGATGACTTTGAAAATGTTGTCTCCTCACAATCCACTGTCTTCTTAAGTGTTGCAGTTGACCTTCCCACTCCCACTATTCTATCAAAACTAATTTTTCAAACCTTCACAGCCTTCAAGAACTTAGGGGTCATTTCCATGCCATGATGAGGCAGTAAATTTAGAATAGAACTTTGTGAAGGTATTACAGTATAGTGAATAAAGTACTGGACTTGGAAAGGCATGGAGTTCAAATCCTACCTCCAATATTTGCTAGGTGTCTGACTCTGTCACTTATCTGACCATCAATTTCCTCATCTGTAAAAAGGGGTCAATATTCTCAGTGCCCACTTCACAGCACTGTTTGTGAGGTTCAAATGAGGTGATATATGTAAAGCAATATGCAAAGCAGCAAGAGTAAAATAAAATCATATAAAAGTGTAGGGAATTAATCAGGAGAGTTCCCAAATCAACTTGATGAGCTTATAACGTTGTGAGTCTTTGTTTGGGACTTTGTAACTTATTGAGAAAAAAATAAAATGGTTTCAGCTCACATGTGGGTCCTCTTCAGTCCACTATAGTCTGGACCTCCCTCAGAAGGAAAAATGAACTTGAGGCTACTAGAGAGGCAACCTACTTTTCATCAAACCTTAATTAAGTTTCAGAATCATTTAATCATGTGGACTTTTATGATATGCCCATATCATGGACTTAGGCCTTTGTGCTGGGAGCCATGTGTGTGATCCTCTTCCCTCCTGTCTCCTTCCCCACCCTTCCTTCCAGGCTGGTACTGTCCAAGGAGGTCTCTTTATCTTTCTAAACGATTATATCACAGACCTTTCCAAGAACTTAACATTGTCCAAGAAATCCCCCTTTCTCTATCTAAGAATCCAGGGGATTCAGGCAGGGGACTGGGGGATGGAGGGCATCTACTAAGTCTCCTCTCAGGCAACATAAGTAAGAGCACATGTAACTTTTACCCTGAGATCATCATTAGCAGCTCTCCCAGGGAAACTGAGACGATGAAGAAGGCTGTGTTCTCCCTCACAACCTCATCCTGCTCAGACCATAACCTAGGGTTGGCTCTTACCTTCACTGCTCTCTCAGAATCTCTCCAGAAAAGGAAAAAAAGTTGAAGGAACAACAACTGAGCAAGCAATCTGCTTTTTTTTACAGGCTATCACAAAGAAGTAGTTCCCAACCACAACAGCCCAAGTTAACCAATTCATCCCCAATTGACAAGATCCAAAGTTTACCACCCTATGAGCTCAGAGAATTCCCCAATCAACCTTTAACAGAAGCAAAAGGTTCTAGCCCCTACAAAAAGAACTCTTTATGTTGTATTAGACACACACAGTCAATGTATCAGTTAGTCTGCTAAACTGCTTTTCCTTTTTTAAGCTTTGTTACTACAAAGGATTGGGCAGCAGAAAGAAAAGAAATATAGCAAAAAGTGAATGTGATATAAAAACAAAGTCTACAAAAAAAAGACAAAATGAAAAATAAAACCATACAAAGGATTCTTAAAGGTGCTTAGGCTGGTAAATTACAAAGTACTTAAAGAATCTACAAAAACAGCTGTTCTGCTCACAGCAAATTTCATTCACTTCATTCATCATCCACTATATGAAAGGTGCTATGTCAGGCACTGATAAAAGGAAGGCTAAATGCAAGCAGGAAGAATATTGAGGTTTATGTAAAATATGGCTTACCCCTGAACTGTCAAAGGAGAACAGAGAGTCAAGGGGGGAGAAACAATGAGGATGGGAAAATGTGGGAAGAATGATGCTTATGAGACCAAAAGTCTAATAAGTCAACTGGAAAGAAAGGACCTAAGCTCAACAGATAGCTCTGGGTTAGAGAAGGAGATTTGGAAGTCTTCAAATGGGAGAAGAGCTGAAGTTGTCAGAATAACTGACTTTTCTGAAGGCAAATACAAAGCAACAAGAGCGAAACCATGAAAGAACTTGCGTGGTAAGAGGGGAGCAAGAAAAGGAATCAGCAAAACAGGCAGAGAAGTAGAGAGGTGAAAGAACTACAGTGGCCCAGTCTTAGGGAAGTTGTGGAAGAAGAGAATTTTGAGGCAACATTCAGTGCCAAATGCTGCAGAGATTAATGGCGTTAAGGCCAGAGAAAAGGCCACTGGATTTGGCAACAGGAAGTTACTTCAGAAGTCAGTATTTACTTTCTACACTCTAATTATGATTCCAGTGTATATGGTAAGGAGAAGAGGATACAGAGTCAACTGGCTACATAAAGTGAGTAACAGAAATGTCTCTTACTTGATTAATCTCACTCTGAAGCTGAAAACCATGCTGTTCTTTCTCCTCTCTTTGCTGCTGAAGTTGTTTGAACTCCACTTTGAGATGCTGATACTTGCTCTCGACTTCTGACAATTCCTCCTTGAGTTTCTGGCTCGCCTCCCCCTTTTCCACAAGCTCTCCCTGTAATCTCTGCAGTGAGGCTTCAGATGAAGATAATTTTGATTGAAGCTGTTGACAATCTAGTTCTTTTTGATGAAGGTTTGCTTGAATATTCTTTTTAGAAACATACTCTTCATTTTGTTTCTCCTCTAATTGAGTGTAATCTTGTTCTTTCTTCAATAACTTTTCACTCAAATTCTGAAAAATCAATTAAACATTTCATATTAAGCAAATTATCATAACAACTTTAGAAGAACCTTCATATTAATAAATTTACTAAGTTTAAAGCAAGTCAACAGTAGATACCACAGTGAAGCAAAAACTAACACAGGCACAGCATTCATCAGTTTTTAAAGTCTTCTTTTATTAGTGGCTCTACATGATCAAGATGGCTCTAACAGTGCAACTCTGAACCTATAGTGAACAGTTTTTCACTATAGGATGAAGCTGCTGAATGAGATAAAAGCTCATTAGCAAAGGACAAGCTAATATTCTTCTTATATTTACACTGAGAATAAAATCTACCTGTGGTAGTTTGAATAAACCTCTGGATTTTTTGGGCCTCTTTGAGATCCATAAGGCCCCAGTGAGACATGCTGCCTCCGCTTTAGAAAAACCCTTTCCTCCTGAGTGGAATTTCCACCCTGCCGCTTTTTGAAACTCTCCATATGTGGAATCTTCCATGCTAAAAATTTTCAACCCCAGGCTGAGTTTGTCAACTAAGACTAACTAACCAATCCTGGCCTGGCACCTGCCTGCCTATGACATCAGAGGTGGGAAAACAATCAGATACCTGAGACCCTATCCCTCCCTATACTATGGCCCTCACCAGTTTTGTTTCTAACCAACTGGATGGATTGCCCAAGCCTGACCTGGTCAGTGTGAGCTGTCTTAGTATGCAGGGCTGCCCTGAAAGTAGCAAGGGATGGGGGTATGATATCACATGGCCCTAGAGTAGACACTAAGATCCCAGCCACGTCCCACACTGATTAAGAAGGGTCAGAGAACTGAATGAAGTTCTTGGTAAGCTGCCAAGACAAAGCAGAAGCCCCTATGCTAGACCACCAACCTTCTCCTGCTACCCAAAGACCAGAAGGCCCTAGGAGCAGAGGCTACTATGGCTGTTGCCCCTGGCCATCCCCTACCCCACAGTTTGTGCTCAAGATCCCCCAATGTATTTTCCTTAGGCCTCAAACCTTTCTTTGTGTGAGTTAAAATGCACAAAATTAAAGGCCTCTTATTTTTGGACTGGCTGGCCTAACACTTGCAAAAGTCCAAAAACCACTGCAACTAAGATGCTAACCCTTCTACAAGCAGAAGTTATTTGGAAAATAAGGATTATAGTAAATGATTTCTAATTTCTTCATCTTAGAAACATACACAATTCTAGATTACAAAGAAGCTCTATGTTTTTAAATTTTACATATGCTTAATTTAAATGTTGTAATCTTAAAAGAACCTAGCTTCTTCTAATTCAATCCTTTTCCTCTTCTTAGTATAAGAGATTAAAGTCATGGATTTGATACCCACTCAGATTTTAAAGTGGGACAAGTTTTACTCTAAAAAGTCAGCTGACCAAGCAACCAGTTTATTTTTGCTTTTTGGTGGGGTGCTTTTGGTTTTTGGGTTTTTTGGGGTGAGGCAATCAGGGTTAAGTGATTTGTCCAGGGTCACACAGCTAGTAAAAGTCAAGTGTTTTGAAGCCAAATTTGAACCTAGGTCCTCTTGACTGCAAAGCCAGTGATCTACCCACTATGCCACCTAGCTGCCCCCAGTTTCTTTTCTCATGAGGTTGACCACCAAGTTTCAAACAAAATATGAAATTTAGAACTTTTCCTCAGACTCCTAGCAATCCTGGGTCTCAATAGAGTTTCTCTCTTTATTGACATTTCACAGTTGTGTGCAAACTCATCTGAACCCATGTTATATGTGCTTAGGGCAGCTAGGTGGCACACTGGATAGAGCACCAGGTCTGGAGTCAAGAAGACCTGGTTCAAATCTGACCTTATACATTTACTAACTGTGTGACCCTGGGCAAGTCACTTAATCCTATTAGCCTCAGTTTACTCATCTGTAAAGTGAGCTAGAGAAGGAAATGGCAAACCATTCTAGTATCTTTGCCAAAAAAAACCCACATGGGATCATAAAAAGTTCACAACTGAATCAACTGAACAACACGTATGTTTAATATTTAAGAATAAAAATTTTAATGGGTAAGATTAGGACACTAAACTACATTCACTGGCTTAGCTATAGCTAATATATTAATATATTAATTAACTAATTAACATATAACATATAATAATAATATACACCTGTGTAAAGACCAAGTGAGGAAAAACAAAAGTAATAAAATCAGGCATTCTTAACCATGGGATGCAGGGAGGGTCTGTCAACATAAATGGGGAAAAGTATATCTTTATTTTCACTAAATTCACAAAGATTTCTAAATGAAATTAAGCACTTGTTTCAATTATTCTGAGAAAAGAGGGAGGAATCCATCAGCTTCAAACTGCCAAAAGAAGTCCATGACACAAAAAAGGTTAGGAACCTTCTATAGCTGTGGGATGAAAATAAAATGACGCGAGTCAAAATTATATCATTTGCTAACAACAAGCATGAAGAAGACATTTAGGTTAGAAGAAATGGCAAGAGCAAAGAAGGAAGGGAGCCCAGCTAGTGATGTGTGTGTGACATGTAAATAGATGAGTTTGGTGGTATCAGGGGGCCAGCTGGTAAGATGAAGGAGAAATGTACGAAGCTAAGTTCCCTAGATGCTGAAAATTTTGAATTTTACACATTAGGGAACAGGGAACACTGCAGATTCCTACACAGAGAAGTCAAAAGGGCCCAAATAATAGTGTTAGATAAAGATAATTCTAGAAGCTAAATGGATCAAATGGAATAGAGTCTGCAAAAGCACTGCATGAAGCTAGCAAACTGATAACAGCCTATACTAAATGATGATCATGGAAAAAAAGAGCTTATCCAGAGAATGATGCTTTCCACTGAAGTTAGTTGTATTCAGTCATTAAAAAAAATTCCCTAGAAATTTCATACATTTATTCATTTTGGAAACATAAGAATTTATTTAGATCCAGTGAATTCAGTGACCCTTGGTCAAGTCACTTGACCTCTCTCCACCTCCCTTCCAAGGTTGTTGTGAGGCTCTAATGAGGTAACGTTTGTAAAGTGCTTAGCACAGTACCTTGCACACAGTAAATGCTACACAAATATTAGCTATTATTATATTATAAATTACATTTTAAAAATTTACAGTTTTCCTTGAGGACTCTGAGCAGATTTCATATGCCAACTTTATATCTACTGAGTAACACGGATAGGATATATTTAACAAATATGACTTAAGAAGTTAAGTTGATGATTCAGTTAGCAATGACTATCCCTCTGGGTATAGTTTAATAAGTCAGTATGAAATCAGGCTATTCTTTTTATTTAAAATGCATTTGCCTTATTATCCAAATTAGACACCTTTCTGTTTTGTTACAATGAGTTGCAATATTGTTTCTGTTCTAATTTATTCATTCACCAAGTGCCAGTTGTTTAAAAAATGCTATGTTATGCTTACATTAAAATGGACAGTTGACACTGACAGCGTGTGTCTGCGTCTCTTAGAAGCTGATATTACAGGGGAAGCTAGGTGGCGCAGTAGATAGAGCACCGGCCCTGAAGTCAGAAGGACCTGAGTTCAAATCCAACCTCTGACCAAATACTTGACACTTACTAGCTGTGTGACCACGGGCAAGTCACTTAACCCCAACTGCCTAAAAAAAACAAAACAAAAAAACAAAAAAACAAAAAAAAAAAGAAGTTGATGTTACTGAGAACAAAAATGAACAAAATTTCTTTGCTGTTATTCTAAGGGCAAAGTTCTTTCCATTAACTCAAAATGTCAGTACAGGCATACTTTGCTTTATTGCACTTCACAGATATTGGGTCTGGCAGCCCTGCATCGAGCAAGTCTATCACCGCCATTTTCCCAACAGCAGGTGCTCACATCATGTCTCTGTCATATTTTGATAATTCCCACAATACTTGTTCATTATTATTGCATCTGTTATGGTGATCTGTGATTTTTGATGTTACTATTAGAATTATTTTGGGTGTGCCATGTATCACACCCTTAAGGATAGTGAACTTAATGGAGAAATGTTGCATGTATTCTGACTGCCTCCCCATCTCTCTCCCTTTCTTCAGGCCTCCCTATTCCCTGAGAAAAAATAATATTGAAATCAGGCTAATTAATAACCCTACAGTGACCTCTAAGTGTTCAAGTAAAAGGAAGAGTCACATGACTCTCACTTTAAAATCAAAAGTTAGAAATGATTAAGCTTGGTGAAGAAGCTAAAGCCTAGAGAGGCCAAAAAGCTAGGCCACCACTCTGCTCAGTAATAGTGATCAACACTGAGGCAAGACCTTCCACCAGCACAGAAATTAAAATGAGCTGCAGACTCAGATGATGGTTAGAAAGGTATGTACATGTTTTTAGTCATAATACTAATAGTATTACATAATACAATTAGCACTATAATAGTACATATGTATATATATATATATATATATATCAATCATAGTAGTATGCAATAGACTATAGTATACTATAAATATAACTTTTGTATGCACTGAGAATACAAAAATTCATGTGACTCGCTTTATCACAATATTCACTTTATTGCGGTGGTCTGGAACCAAACTCACAATATCTCCAAGGTATGCCTGTACATAAATGTTGAAGAATAATTACTTAGATTCATTTCCATAGTGCTGAAATATACACTAGAAATATGACATTGCCTTGTATAACTACTGTGCTAATTTGTTCTGACAATGCCAGTAAGACAAAAGAGTTCCATTATAGTCAAATCTCATCATACTTGGCCTCTTGCCACCTCTTACTCTGAAAAAACTCAACCTGATCAACAAAATTCTTCTCAATTAATGCTTTCTTACTTTCTTCTGGTCTGATTCTCTTCCTTTTCTCACTGCCCATCCCATGATTTTTCAAAAATTAATTATATTAATCCCTCCCAATGATTATGGGCATTCAGGATCCCTGGACCTAGTTGGAGTAGGGCACCCATTCCTGTGAATTTGTTTACCCATGTATGTGGCAAAAGCTGTGCAAAAAGAGATTAGTAATAACAATACATTCCCAAAGTGTCTCACTGTTAATCATC